AGACCGCGACCTTTAAGCTGTGTGCGAGCAAACAAGGTGCCTTGACAAAGGAATTAGCATAAAAAATTGCATTTTATTGGCAGACTTAGCATAGAGGTGGTGTACATGCGGGTGCACATGCCGGTTGGCGCGGGGGGGGGGGGGGGAGTTTACCTATTGATGGTGTGAAAAGGGAATTTAAGAGCTGCAAAAGTTTGGGGTACCACTACTTGAAAAATATACTGTACCATTGAAAATTAGTTTAATGTTTGGTTCGATTTAGAACATCTTCCAATGGTTGCTTAATTTGAAACCATCTTCTCGGTTGAAATTGTGTCTGTGTTTGTAGATCTGAATTGCCTCGTGAACAAATCTCTGATAAAAACCCATGGGTTTGCAAAGAACATTGGCATCGGAGAAAATTATATTGTGATCACCCACAGCATTGTAACAATGATCAGCTACGGCAGAAGAATTCGTTTTGCCGTGTTTCAAATCTGATTTGTGCTCGCGAATTCGGTCAGAGACATGTCGCTTTGTCTCCCCGATATAGCAATCACCGCAGGTACAACTTAATCTGTAAACCCCAGGGTACTGTAAGTCAGGAATGACATCCTTCATGGATGGGATCAGATCACGAATTTTGTGTACTGTATTGAACCGGACCTGGATCTTGTGTTTGTTTCGAATTTTGGAAATCTTTTTAGTAACGCCTGCTATATATGGTAGTGTGATGGTTTTGACCGGAGTATCAAGTGGTTGTTTCTGTATGGAGGGAGAAACAGCTTGGCGGATGGTACGGTCAGAGTATCCATTCTTTTTGAGGGCCAGGTGTACATGTTTTAATTCACTGGTCAGGTGGTGTTGGTCCGAAATGCAATGAGCCCTATGGTATAAAGTTTTGATGAGAGAATTATTTTGGGCTGGGTGGTGGTGGGAATCAGGTTTCAAGTAGGGATCTGTGTGGGTGGGTTTCCTGTAGACAGAATGCCCCAATGAGCCATCAGGTTTCCTCTCAAACAGAACATCTAAGAAAGGTAGCTTGCCATCTTTCTCCACTTCCATGGTGAATTTGAAATATTGGCTATCACTGGGATCCCCCCTGTCACAAGTGATAGCCAATATTTTCATGGAGAAATTTGAATCAGACGCCATCCAGACTTCCACCCTCAGACCTTCCCTGTGGAAGAGATATGTGGAAGACACTTTCGTCATTTGGCCACATGGCCTCCCAGCTCTGAACCTTTTCCTACACCACATAAATTCCAGACATCCCGCCATCAAAATCACCATGGAAGTGGAGAAAGATGGCAAGCTACCTTTCTTAGATGTTCTGTTTGAGAGGAGACCTGATGGCTCATTGGGGCATTCTGTCTACAGGAAACCCACCCACACAGATTCCTACTTGAAACCTGATTCCCACCACCACCCAGCCCAAAAGAATTATCTCATCAAAACTTTATACCATAGGGGTCATTGCATTTCGGACCAACACCACCTGACCAGTGAATTAAAACATGTACACCTGGCCCTCAAAAGGAATGGATACTCTGACCGTATCATCCGCCAAGCTGTTTCTCCCTCCATACAGAAACAACCACTTGATACTCCGGTCAAAACCATCACACTACCATATATAGCAGGCGTTACTAAAAAGATTTCCAAAATTCGAAACAAACACAAGATCCAGGTCCGGTTCAATACAGTACACAAAATTCGTGATCTGATCCCATCCGTGAAGGATGTCATTCCTGACTTACAGTACCCCCGGGTTTACAAATTGAGTTGTACCTGCGGTGATTGCTATATCGGGGAGACAAAGCGACATGTCTCTGACCGAATTCGCGAGCACAAATCAGATTTGAAACACGGCAAAACGAATTCTTCTGCCGTAGCTGATCATTGTTACAACGCTGTGGGTGATCACGATATAATTTTCTCCGAAACCAAGGTTCTTTGCAAACCCACGGGTTTTTATCAGAGATTTGTTCACGAGGCAATTCAGATCTACAAACACAGACACAATTTCAACCGAGAAGATGGTTTCAAATTAAGCAACCATTGGAAAGATGTTCTAAATCAAACCAAACATTAAACTAATTTTCAATGGTACAGTATATTTTTCAAATAGTGGTACCCCAAACTTTCGCAGCTCTTAAATTCCCTTTTCACACCATCAATAGGTAAACTCCCCCCCCCCCCCGCGCCAACCGGCATGTGCACCCGCATGTACACCACCTCTATGCTAAGTCGGCCAATCAAATGCTAATTTTTATGCTAATTCCTTTGTCAAGGCACCTTGTTTCCTCGCACACAGCTTAAAGGTCGCGGTCTGAGCGTGGCTGTGTTTCACTCCAGCGCTGTCCTCGAGATAGCCTGATCCCTTCACCTGATGAAGGCCGCTTGTGTTGTGGCCGAAACGTCGTGATTTTTTTTTATTTTTTACCTACATGACTTTACCGAATAGAACCAAAGAGTATGAAGCACCCACACTTTACCCCACCACAGGTGGACCTGCCTGACTGTGATTGACTTATTTACGTTTGGCTACGTACAGTGCGAAAGAAATCCAACATACATATGCTGCATGGGTGGACCAATGGACAGTTAATGAATATGCCCATTCAACTTAACTCCATTGTCTCCACATAATAAGTAATATTTTTAAAAAATGTAAACACGTTTTAATGAAATGTACCGTACTAGTAATGGAAGAACTCCACGACTCCAGGAAGTGGCCCGCAGATTGCCATAACATAAGGGACCGTGGTGATTTACAGCCAACGTCAGTTTACCGTGGGCAATTAGACCCAATCCGAAACATAACATATAAAAATAATGTTTTAAAATGTGTTTTTTTATTAATGATAGAATATAGTATTGTCATCAGTATGACAAATGTATACCAAGTTTGCAGTCGATACCACATTGGGAAGTGGGCAAAAATTGAGTTGCAAGATTTGAGGATACAACGACAATAACAACAGATAGAGCGAGTTAAATAAAAGCGTGTAAAAATAAGTTTCAGCCTGTCAGCCTCTTGACATTCCAGACCAATTTACCAAGCAGCATTTAAGCAAACCAACTTCCGAACGTTTTAGACCTTCTGGGTCTCATCAGCAGGGTCAGGCCTGTTAAACAAAATCTGCTGAATTATTATGATTGTCTTCTTTGGTTCTTTCGGTAAAGTCACGTAGAATGAGAATAAAATAATAAATTGATAAAATAAAATAACACAATATTCTCACGACGTTTCGGCCACAACACAAGCGGCCTTCATCAGGTGTTGTGGCCGAAACGTCGTGAGAATATTATTGTGTTATTTTATTTTATCAATTTATTATTTTATTCTCATTCTACGTGACTTTACCGAAAGAACCAAAGAAGATGAATCATTGCAGTCACGAAAGCTTTAAATCGAAATTTATTATGATTGTCCTTGGCAAAAGTGCGCCAGATAAAATAAGGGAGCCCATTCATGAGTTTACGTATGACATTAAAATCGTTGTCGCATCATACTTGGGTTACGGACACCCTTCAAGTGCAGTTATGCCACAGCATAAATTTTGAGTCTTTTACGTTTTAAACAAAGTCTTAAACTCGTGATAAGGCAGCATGTACCGCATGCCTAATGTGCGCATTAAACGCAAACAATTCTCCGGTTGTGTTAATTAGCTGTACTGTACAAGCCGTCTTTGAATCCACTGTTGGATAAAGGCCTCCACGCGCTGTAAGGTGAAGGTGGGTTTTATTTTTTTTACCAGTATTTCACCACGCAGGTCAGTGAGAGGTGAAGGCGAGGCCCAGAACCGGCTCAGATAATTATCACTCGCCACCGATGTTAGCCGTTGGCCGGGAATGGAACTCAGGTCCTCCGTGTTCATAGCCTAGTGAGACGCGACCAAAGTGCACAGTGGATGGTTGTTGTAGGCTCCTGCGTGGGCCTGCGTGGTAGGCAGCAAGAAGGCATCGATTGCAGCAACATTCATTGTTGTGCCATGTCCCTACACTGTACTCACATATATATGCTCCTCGCCTACACAAACCTGCATTGACCAGCGTCAAGAATGGTCAAACAACCCTCACGAATCGCACGGCGTGTTTTTTGTATTATTTGTTGTTGTAACTTGCTTAGCCGCCCCTACCGGGAATCTGTGAACAAGCGGTTCATAGCTCAAATGAATCCCCCAGGATAAATACAAATTCTGATCATCCATCAAGCAGTGGCTTGACAGAAAGCTCTGTACATAAACATATCAAGTAACAACCACAGTTCGCCACTAAGTGACGATGACGTAACCACAGCGATTGTGCCAGGCTAGGTGCACCTTGAGGCCACGTGAAGTATGGAAGGCCATTCCTCGCTGCTGGGCTGGAAGGTCACAGGGCAGAGACCCAGGTGCTATAGGTTGATCGAGCTGGTTGGTAGAGATGCACCACCTGTATGTATTTCCCACTTCGCAAACTTGCAGCGGCGTTAGTCGACCGACGCCCTCAGCTCTTTGTTGTGAGCGTCGCTCCGTTATCCTGCGTTGTTGCTGGAGGGCGACTGCCTCCCAACTGCAACAGTAGCGCCTTTCACGAGCCTCCTCAATCAGTAAACACGCTCAATGACACTCACTCGATGCAAAAACAATCCATTATAATGCCCTACGCCTGCTTCATTGGCCTGGCATAAGGGCATCATAAACATCCAAGCACCAGCCATGTTAAATCCACTTCTTGTTTGATGGCCTCCGGCCACGCCATTATCTTCAAGGTAGAGCCGTGGCGAAAATGATTGGCACAACCTGGCCCCTAAGTTCGACTCCCGGCCACGGCTAACATCAGTGGCGCGTTACATCAGCCTAGCACTGGGATGTTCCCCTTCACCAACTTGTACGGATCCAACATCATGAAATATGGTCAGGAACGTTTAAACATCTCCCATGAGACTCGCATCCAGCAGTGTACAGAGAATGACCCGTATTTGTATGCAGTACTGTAGCTGTACAAATTAACAATGTAAACAAGTACTGTACCTCCGTTCCTTTCCTTGGACTTCTTGGGAATCTGGAACCGGGTGAGGGAGGGAAGTGAAAGGAACCTCTCTTGTTGTTTCTGTTTGTCCGCGGGCTTCCCGCTAGCGTCAACCGCAGCGGCAGCAGCAGCAGCAGACGCAACAGCAGAGGAAGCAGCAGCAGCAGCAGAGGGAAGCCAAGTCGAAGATGAGCCAGCGCCGCCGTGGTTTCGGTGGACATTTTGTTTCTCTGCATTGAAAATGGCCCTGCCAGTAACGGTGGCCGTGGCGGACGAGGACGCTTTCGACATCGTGCACCTCGTTGTTGTTGTTAAGATAGCCGCCTCATTGATTTTACTATTGGGCTACCTTTAGCGAGGGCGGGGGGGCGCAGGGGTAGTGTAGCTTCGGCCGCTCGCCGCGCCTGCACGTAAAATGTCGAGTTGTGCACCGACTCTTCGACGCGACACTCTCGCGCCGTCTCTCCCCTTGACCCTCTACCACCGCACGCGACGAGGACTCCCCCAGACCACTCCCCCCCCCAGACCACGCCCCCCCCCAGACCATGCCCCCCACCACTCCCCACCCAGCCCGCCTGGCCGTCGCAGCTGCCGCCACCTGCCGCCATTTTTGTGCGGGATTTATTTACGGAGTTTCGGGGGACGGCGAGCGCGCGCCCATCGGACGGGTCGGGTTTGGAGGCGACGTGACGTCATTGCGGCGCGCCGTCTCCACGACGAAGGCCGTGGAGCTTCCCTGGCCAACATGGCGGCCCGTTTTCAGTTCATTTTGGAATAACCCTGTGAGCCATTCGGCTCTTGATTCGGGTGCAACCGCAACAAACAATTACAATTACAAGACACATTTAAAATTTACTGTACGCAAATTTAAACATCCCCGACAAAAACAATAACATCTTCCAGAAAAAAGCACCATTTGTTTATGCCGCGTATAAAAATGTGCAAAAAAAATCACGTGGCCGCTGCCCGCCTCGCTGCCCCCTAGCGATGGAGGCGGTGTGGCCGAGCCTGCACGCCACGCACCCCGGCCACCCGCCTTAGATTCCCGCTCGCTTGCCACCAACGGCAGTGGCCACGATGGTCTCAACCGGCCCTCCTTGGCGTCCCGTGGGTGGACTCTGCCTTAAATGAGTGGTGCGTAAACTATCGCCACTGGGGAGGCAAAGGCGGCCCAGGTACGGTTGCTGGCCACCCACCAACCCTTCGTGTGCCGTTGCGGCCTTCATAGATACACTCGCAAACAGCAGTTGCCCCAACAGTTAAGGCTAAATGGGGGGGTCTTTGTTTGCATATCCATAAATAATGCTGCCTTTTAAATAAATAAAATAACAATGTACGTTCAAGCGGTCGTATTGACGAATGCGTTCCGTTTAGTTTGTGCATTTGATATGCTCACGGCAGTGCAAGATTTGCGGCCTTGTCGAAGCCGCGGCACGTCCAATGTTACTGAGCCACCATACACCACGAGAGTGTTCAACACTGATTTATTACTGATTCTTAAACGCAACATTCGTCGTCGACTTGCAACCCTCAGGCAGAAGTTATTTGCAAGCAGCGGCGGAGAGAATCATTGCACTTTAATATGTTACATAATTGTTACGCATTTTTGTCCACTGCTGGATGGAGGGACTCTCCCTTTGCCGTGTGTCCGTCACTGGGAATCGCTTGACCACACTTCGCGCTGCTCAGAACGAATTGATGCAGGTGGTGAGTTGAGGGTGGGGTTTCAGGATCGATTCAGACATCACTTGCCACTGACGTTAGCCGATCAATCAAGGTGCATTTCCCTTTCGTATTGCGCCTCGAATTGTCTTCTTGGTCAGGAAGCCGCACATGCACTCCTGCTATTAGCCATAAGAGGGAGACAAATTAAAAGAAATACCAGTAGTTTGAGCTTAAATGTGAACTTTCAAGTTAACCCACAATAACGGGATATGATGAGTTTGCCTTGTTTCCCCATTATCAGGGTGGTTAAATGTGTTCAATCAGAACCCCCCCCCTCCCATGACCGACATGGCATGGGAAAATGCCTTGTTTAACACGTAGGCTTTCGCAACCAAATCGAAATCTGTTCAAAATGTTTAGCGTATTTCCCGACATGCAACAAACTTGAAATTTGCCATGTGGGTACTTTCCAGACTGTACACCATGCAAAAATTATGAAAATACACTTTAGTATTTTTTTTGGGGGGGGGGGGCGGGAGCTCAATAATGCGTATTTTTTTTGCACGGCAGTGAGCTGTGACGTCAAATCTGTCACGTGACCCACGCATGTGGAAGCATAACGCATTGTAGTGTAGTGGTGAGCGTGCTGCACTACGAACCCGGCGACCCGAGTTTGATTCCCGCTCACGGCCACCACCGATGACGATTATTTTTACCGGTCCTGGGCCTCCCCTAGGTCGACTCAGCATCAAACGAGTAACTGCTCTGCTGTGTGAACATCGCCACTGGGGAGACAAAGGCGGCGGGCATGCTGAATCCAAGTCTCGGGTGAAGCCGGGTAGTACAGCTAGTCTATATATTTACGCGATCTAACCCACAAAAAACGCTATTAAGAATGCCTTGTGTTCGTCAATCGATTTGTAGTGTATTGAGTTCTGGAGACGTCGTAGACTGATCTTGAAGGCAACACTTTTATTCACAATACTCAGGAATACAGCCCCAGCTCACTCAGGGCAACGGCCCTTCTATACCCACTGCCTGGGGAGGTATTGCCTCCGGGCTAACGTGCCCTAACACGGGACCACTACTCTGGGTCCTCCGGCTACGGGTGCCTAGGGGAGGCTACTCTAACCTGACCTAGCCAGGGTGCGGGTTCCGACCACTGGCCCACTCGGACCCGACCCTCACAAGGACGTCGGGCCGGGGGTTCCCAGGGTCTCGCAACTGAGCCACACAGAGTCCCGGCCCTTACAAGGGCAGCGGGGCTAGAGGTCCCAGGGCCTATCTAGCTGGTCTTCTTGCTTCTGTCTTGGACTGGCCCCAGACCCTTCCATGGGTCCGGGTTTTATACACAGCACTGGTGCGTCAGCCCTGACTCTGCCTACCTTCCAGAGCGTTCCAGAGGGGGCCCTAGGGGATCCCAGGACACCCCGCAGCCCCCTCCTATTGGGAGGGGTCCCGGGGGATCCTAGAACACCCCACAGCCCCCTCCTGCTCTGGGACTAGGGATATAGTTCCTCTAGAATGGAAACATTCCTATGTCCGTCCACTTCACAAAGGGGGCCCTGAAGATGATCCAAATAACTATCGACCTATCTCAATTTTTGAAAAATTATTGACCTACCAAATTAGCAGTTTCCTGTTTCCTGTCCACCAACAATCTGCTACATCTAAAACAATCTGGGTTCCGAAAAAAATACAGCACCACATCTGCTGCATTAGACTCTCTGAATCACATTTACAGTAGCCTTGATAATAAGTAGTACTGTTCCTGTCTTTTTCTAGACCTGTCCAAAGCTTTTGATACAGTAGACCACAACACCCTGCTTAGTAAACTAAGTTGCCTCGGTTTTTCCGAAAACGCAGTAAAATGGTTACAAAATTACCTCTTTTCTCGCACCCAAACGGTATTCACAGATGGTTGGAGGTCAAACAGTGTTAAGATAACAAAAGGGGTTCCACAGGGTTCCATCCTCGGCCCCCTTTTGTTCTCTCTTTATGTCAATGACTTGGGCGCTGACCTGGATCATTCCAGGGTAAATCTTTTTGCAGATGACACAATACTGATTACTGCTGGCCGCTCTCCGAATGATGTGATTGCTAAGCTACAGGGTGATTTCAACAAACTACAACATCAGCTAGTTGCTCTTAAACTAGTCCTGAATACCTCCAAAATCAAGATGCTATGCTTCTCACCAGGACTAAAGCAGGAAGCTATTTTTCCCCAATTACATGCCTTAAATAATTGTCAAATAGAGCAAGTCAAGATCTACAAGTATATTGGGGTCATCCTGGATTCAAAACTGAATTTTGAAGATCACATTGATTATATTGGTAAAAAGACAAATAAAAATTGGTTTTCTGTATCGACACAAGTACTGTTTCCCCCCAATGTTCCGTTTGGAATTGATAAAAGCTACCATACTGCCTCTACTTGACTACTGTGACATCGTGTATAAATCAGCCCCAAGTACTGTACTGAAAAAGCTTGATTCCATCCATCACTCGGCCTTAAGATTTACATTGAACTGCCCATATAGGACTCACCACTGTGATCTCTACATTGGGTCAAACTTAACATCTCTTAATGTGCGACGGCTTGTGCACCAGATCTTATTTATTCACAATGTACTTACAAAAAAATCCGCAGACAACCTGCTGGATCTCCTCTCTGTTTCAAGGAACAAATTTGACCTCAGGTCTTCGCTCATTTACCAGCTTCACATTCCCTATTGCCGTACAAAAATTGGAGGAAGGGCCTTTGCTATTGATGCCCCCAGAGTCTGGAATGCTATTGCCAATAAACTCCAACTTGAATCACTACCAATGAGATCTTCTCTCAAAACTGCTCTCGAGGAGTTGTACACCCCTAGCTGCCACTGCTATTCATTGGCGTAAAATAAAATATTTCACTCCGGATGACACTGCAAAGTATTATCTGTATTTTGATTTAGCGTGCTGATCTTAAAGGTGCATTGAACATTTTTATACTCCGACCGATGCTTCTTCTTGCTTCTGTCTTGGACTGGCCCCGGACCCTTCCAGGGGTCCGGTTTTTAGACAGAGCACTGGTGCGTCAGCCCTAACTCCGCCTACCTTCCAGAGAGTTCCAGAGGGGCCTCCGGGGAATCCCAGCACACCCCGCAGCCCCCTCCTATTTGGAGGGGTCCCGGGGGATCCTAGAACACCCCACAGCCCCCTCCTGCTCTGGGGCTCGGGATATAGCGACTGCCCCTGCTGGACTGTGTCTGCCTCTACAGGTGTACACAGCCCATTTACATCGCTACAGATTGGTAAAGGATTCCAAAATGGAGATGCCTTCATCAAGCAGTGAATCAATCAGGGCCATTGGTGATGATAATTTCACCAGTGCTATCGGCTTCAAGTCCTGGGATGAAGAATCAATTCGGAAAACGCGCAGGACAATGCACAGAATCGACTCTGCTTTCCACCATCACACTCTGCTATGAGATTGGCTCATCACCGTCAACCCGATATTTTTAATTCACAAAGCTGGAATGTGTAAGCCCCTCATGAATCGTTACAAGGTACCAGAATCAGAGAACCTCGCCTGGACAAGGAGCCAGGCCTGGGGGTGGTGTTCGCCGGAAAGCGCATGGTGACCGGGTGACCCACGTAACCCGGTTGGGCCCAGCCCGTAATAGTTACGTGGCACCGTCCTGTGGGCCCACCATCCGCAGGATGAAGGGTGAGGGGCGGGTGCGATGCTAGTATGGCAGGGAGAGGGATGGTCTCAGATGGACTGGACCTTGGTGATGGACACTAGCTACTGGGACGTGGAATGTCACGTCACTGGGGGGGAAGGAGCCAGAGCTGGTGGAGGAGGTG